TATTGGACCCTACATTGTAACGTTCATGTACACGTCTGTGTCAGCATGTCATGTAAATCACAATACTCTTGCATGTTGTCTATTGTTTTTCACTTGTTTCTTTCTTTGACTCCACTGTGTGAAAATCTGTTGGAGCAGCATGTCAGTGGAGAATATTGCAGCACCTCCTCCACCTCCACCTCCACCTCTTTCACTGGCTCGCTCAGTGTCCAGCAAGAAGAAGCTTTACCAGGCTTTAGCAGAGGGAAGGGCCCCTGTAGAAGGGGACCATGAAGAGGCCAGAATTATTCTAGGACAGAGAGAAAGCAGGCGAGTACAAACTACAATTTTATACTCGGAATACTTTTTTTTTTTTTTGTACAATCACGATTTCATCATTTCTCAACATTTCTCCATGAAGTTTTAGGAAGGATCTGCAGTGGGTGTTGTTCAATAAGTATGTGCCTTCACTTATTCAAGATGGTCCACAGTAAGTTTCCATAAAAATACCTAATGGTTAATGTTGATATTTTAGAGAGCAGGGTGGCTGATATATACAGTTGTGGTCAAATGTTTACATACACCTTGCAGAATCTGCAAAATCTTAAGTGTTTTACCAAAATAAGAGGGATAACATGAATTTTGTATGATCCCTTTTATTTTGGAAAAATAATCGTTTTGCAGATTGCAAAGGTGTATGCAAACGTTTGACCACAACTGTATATATATATATATGTGTGTGTGTGTGTATACATGTATGATATCACACTATTTCATTTAAATATTTAATTAAAGATAGCAAAAACGTGCTGCAATAAAATGTATAATTCTGTATTATAATATTACATAATATTTACTAAATTGGAAATAAATCATTTTAAATTGAATCAGAATGGGGAAAATCATTTGAATTTGATCAAAAAATAAACCTGGAAATCATAGAGATTAATACTAAGCAACTTATTGATTATGCAAGCCTATTATAGTATTTTGCATAAATAAAGAAACTGTTACAAATATAAAAAAGAAGTAAACATTGTAACCAACAGTGTGCTCAAAAATATGGTGCTGTAAGTCTGTTCAAAATGGGAATCATATTCTACACTTCTTCTAAAACTTGTTTTAAACTTGTCACCAAGGCAACAATTTTCATTTAGTATAACTTGATGTACTAAAATAAAATCTAAAACTGTATTAAAAATTATACACACACACACACACACACACATATTTAAACAAAGTAATACAAATGACAAAAACACAACAGAATTGCAACAATTTTAACTAAATTTAAAATCAAAACGGAAAATCTAAAAATAAAAACTAATTCAAAATATGAATTAAAAACTATAATAGTATCTCAGTGATACTAAAATAACACTGATAAAGTGAAGAGCTGAAAAGATCTGTTAATGCAAATGTTACATAGTGTACACAGCGAATATGACATAAATATTCTGACACTTACTGGCCAAACAGAAAAACCTACCTGCCTTGACAATATATCGGTCCATTGGTGTTGTTTTTCTGTCTGTGTGGCTGCATGTTTGTGCAGTGCTGGATGATATATCATTGCTCTTACATGTATCTTCAGATGTGGTCTTGTGGCCTTATGGATGGCGACTCATCTTCTGCAGCCTCCTAAGACGGTGGTGCTGGAGACACTGGTCCAGATGGCAAAAGACAACGGCTACACTGAACAAGGGGAAATGTTTTCTGGTACTTAGTAAACCACTACTTTCAAATGTAACTGTCATACGTGGACTAAATGCAACTTAGTGGAATTAAGCATTAACATGTTGAAGAAACAGGAATTAGTTTTAAAGGGTTAGTTCACCCAAAAATGAAAATTCTGTCATTAATTACTCACTCTCATGTCGTTCTAAACCCGTAAGACCTCCGTTCATCTTCGGAACACAAATTAAGATATTTTTGATGCATTCTGACAGCTCTCTGACCCTCCCATAGACAGCAAGGGTACTACCACGATCAACGTCCAGAAACCAGAAACAGTTATTTTTTTTCTTTTGCGCACAAAAAGTATTCTCGTAGTTTCGTAATATTACGGTTAAACCCCTGATGTCACATGGATTATTTTACCGATCTCCTTGCTACGTTTCTGGACGTTGATCATGTTTTTGGGTGAACTATCCCTTTAAGAGTATTTGTGGCTTTCTAAACAGGAGACTACTAGATGCTACAATGTTTGTGTTTTTTTCTGTTTTGAATTAGCTAGTGACATGGCCAAGCTGGCAGAGGAAGTGTGTGGCTGCAGAGTTCAGAGGTTATCAGGAGGCATGATGGGAGAAAACACTGCTGTCATTCTTAAACACCTCGCTGGCGGGCAGCCTGTTCTTGTACCGTATCTTTAATGATTACATATTTGTTTGTTCATGTTTTCATTTGCTCACAGTTTTCTAAAATCATTTCATTTTATTTATTATATATTACTACTAAGCCACGTTTTTTTGTTTTGCTTACCGTTTTCTGAAATAATTTTTATATATATATA